ATCAGGTCCCTCCTTATCCACATCGCTTTTGCAAGGCAAACAATCCAGCTTCCTCCTCTCCGCCTCCGTACCTTGTGCTTCAGCGTCCCAACCCTCTCCGTGGCTCTCCTCTGGACACTCTCCAATTTGCCAACCTCTCTCCTGAACTGAGCAAGGCACTACAGCACTGGCCTTGCCATGGCCTCGCAGGGGGAGTCCATCACCTCTCTGACCATGATGAGGGGTACACCACACCATTCATGGGCGATACACCACACCATCCAGGGGCAGCACATCACACCATCCATGGGTGATACACCACACCATCCATGGGCGGCACATCACACCAGCCACGGGCGATCCACCACATCATCCACGGGCGATCCACCACACCATCCATGGGCAGCACACCACACCATCCATGGGCAGCACACCACAGTGTCCATGGGCGATCCACCACACCATCCAGGGGCGATACACCACACCACCCAGGGGCTATACACCACACCACCCAGGGGCAATACACCACACCATCCATGGGCAGCACACCACAGCGTCCATGGGCAATCCACCACACCATCCAGGGGCGGCACATCACAGCGTCCATGGTCAATCCACCACACCATCCATGGGCGATACACCACACCACCCTTCCAGCTTCCACTCCTTTGGCTCATCAAGAGCCCTGAGCAGCAGTCCTGCTGGCCAGCTTATGAAACGTCCCATTGTCTCTCCTACGTGCACGCCTTCCAACTGTTAGAAACTTGGTGTATTTGTGTGGCAAAGGTAAATCTCAATGCAATGTACAGAATATGTATCTTTGGCTGAAGTGAAAGACAGAGAGAATACTGACTTCCAAGCAGGGGAGTGTCACTTAATGACCTGTGGTCAATCTTTTCTTTGACTAAAAAAACAGAAAAAGTAAAAAATATTTTTTGCTGATTAGGATTGTTCTTACAGGGCTTTGCTTTGATGTCTTTGCTCAACATTATGGCAACTTCTCCCCCGGCCCTGCCATTGTGCACTTGTGTTTTCCTAACCAGTTTAGATCCTGCATTTTAAGGAAAGCTGGGATTGCTTAGTTATCTTACACGGCTCAATCTAAGTCTACTGAAATTAATGGGTTGCTTTTTTGGATCAGGTCTGGAATGTTAATTGCAGTTAGTATTACTAGGCTGTCTAATCCTCCAAACAGAGGCTGCATCAGGACCTAAGAACCTATAACAGGGCAAATCACGAGAAAAATGTATTGAGCAAGTATCCAAGTGAGGCTTGGTCTTGTCCCTACGGCTATCGATGGATAAAGAAAAGCCCCGAGATCATTCCAGTAAGTTAAATACTGACTTTGGCCTAATTTATCCCTAATTTATTGCCCACTGCATGATCCAAGATGAAGTTCTCCCTCAGAAATGTGTGGAAGGAAATAACTAGGTCATGATACACGCTCTTATGAAGGGGCTACAGATTAGCAGCTGAATGGAGAGAGACCAGAAAGCACAGACTTTGTGTCAACTGAGAATTCAGAGGAATTTCTGGCCCCTGTCCCATGACTCTGCAGCATCACACAGAGCGGATCCCTGTCAGTATTACCAGGCCACCCTCCTTGCTGGAGACACAGCTTCCTATTTGGCCAGTTTGTATTTGCAAAGTCCTATAAATTTTGGGTTCCCTTTGCAGCCCTGCCACCAACTATGTGAGTTTTGGCAAACAAACAGTGTCAGAGTCACTTGTGCTTGAAGGCAGTTTCTACTTAAATTCCAGGTTCTTGTATTTTCTTGCAAAAACTGCAGGAAAATGTTCATTTATAAAAAAAAAACCTGAAAAAAAAAGGAAATATACTGAAAAAAAACCCCAAGGTATAATGCCAGTGGAGGTTAGCATTAGGTGAACACATATATGCATGCACACACCCACAAACCAATCCCCAAATTTCACTGAATACAATCCTTTCCCACCTGGCTTTTGGTGGCTTGGATTTTTCCATTTTATGACCTGCACGTAATTTTTCTAGCTCAATATATAGAAATTTTTTAAGCACTTTATACACTATCTGAACTACAAAATAAACCGAAGCGTAACAAAATTATTTCAGACTTCTTGGAGAAATCAGCTCTGGAGGGCAGCGGTCTTTAGCAAGAAATGTAACTACAAGTTCAAACAGAAAAGTGACCTTTGCCTGTTGCTACAAGTATGTCACTGGAGGGGATTTGGCAGTGAGTTTTTCACTGGGAGGAGTCATTTGGCATTGGTACTGGTTTATGAAAGAGCAGAAGAAAGTAGAAGTTGGTTTTCTTAAATGATTCCCTACAAGGAGGAGATGCAAGATATTTTCCAAGCGCTGGCTGCAAATAAATTTTTACCTCTGTGGAGCACTGTCAGATCCCATGCTATCACAGGAGGTGTTCTTTACGGGGCACGTCTCTGCACCATACATCACACCTGCCTCAGTTGAGTCCATGTAGCCATTGACCAGCTTGATGTCTCTCAACTTCATACTCTCATTTTGTGAATCCAAAGATACGATGTCAGATGGGGAGCTCACAACACCAGAGTCTTCCGTGGTGTCCTCAGATGCAAAACAACTGCTTTCTGATGCCGTTTCTTCCATCTCTGATAGCTCCAGAACCGTGTCATCCACTACATAAACATTATCATGTGCGGGCAGCAGGCTCTCTAAATGAAATATAGCAAGGAAAGTCAGCTGACAGTAATCAGTACATAAATCAAACATAGAGAGCTATTCCTTTGTAAGTGGGAAAAAAACACACAAAATGCATTAGAAATAGTAGGATGAAGAAGCTCAATATTTGTATGTAGGATAAAGATGATCTGAAAAGTGACAAAAATTTTGTCCTTCTTTGCTTTCAGCAGGGGTCGTTTGCTACGCCTATTCTGCAGAGTTTGGGTTTTATAACTTTCATAGCAAATCATTTTCCCTACTTCTTTCCAGGGACAGTTTCTTGGGGAATTGGACCAAAGTTTAAATGATTTGGTGCAAGAAGTCACTCCTTTTATTGCTTCTGACAACATAATCTCATTATTCCTCTTCCACACTGCCAAACAGATCATGACATTTCCAATAAGAAGTCTATACACTGGTAAAAATGGGCAGCATTTCCCAGTCAGGACACTGAATTGGTAAACTCAATCTAGTGCTGGCCCACTGGGTGTCACTTTATTTTACCACTCTCCAATTCCCTATGCGTTAAGTGGGAGAATAACAACTGTTTCTTTTTCAACGCATACAAGATCTACTACTAAGTGTACAGAAAAGCAGACACTACTATGCTTAATGCAGAACCTTTTCCAATGTTTAGCTATTTATAAAAGACATCAAGGGATATGTCCTTTGCATGTTTAACTCTATTAAATGTTGTGAATCTTGAGAGGAGATTAGACAAGTACAATTTTTTGTACTCTGTTTTAGTGTGGTTCCTATGAGCTACTTGGGGTTTTGTTTGTTTGGGTTTTTTTTTTGGGTGAAAAATACAATTTTGTTATTTCCCTTAAGAAAGAAACAACTCTAGACTCCATCCTGCAATTATGCCATTAAAGAGGAACTCCCAACAAGGTCAATAATTTCAATGACTGAAATTATTGAGTGACTAAAGACAGAATCAAGCCCAAACACGTCTTTTGATCAAAAGGAATCAATAAAGACTAATCTAAATGTTTAATTTAGAATTGTAAGTGTGTTCCATTCCCTTTTTCAACCTCAGTAAGCAAAAGGAAGATTAAACAGTTTATAGTCTGATCCTGCAGACACTTGTGGTGGATGTTAATTGTACAAGAAGTCCCAGGTCTATACATGTGACTAAGATTAAACATATACTTCACTGTTTTTTAGGGTGAAAATCTCCGACTTTTTGAAGAATGCATGAAGCTACAGGTCAATAAAAATAATCAACGGAAAGAAATACTTTTGTATTATGTTGTACACACAAAAGTATTCATTTTAAGTCAGAGAAAACAACTTTGTTAAAAAATGTCACAGAAATGATTTTGTAAGGGTGTTGCTTAGCAGTGAAGCTTTGAGTAAGACTGCAATAAAAACCAAACGAACATTCTCCTTGACTGAGGTTACAAGATGCCATTAAGTACTGAAATTGATTTCTGACAGCAGAAGCAATAAAATTCAGAGGGTTACAAATCATGATTAAAGTTGTAAGTGCTGTCAAGCATAAATATTAATGATGGAAGATGATCCAAAGACTCTTCTGCGACTTTGGAAGTAATGCTACTTGATTTCTTTGACCTTATTTTCTACAACATTAGCTCTAGGTCCCAAAATTAATCCAAGAGATCGTTCCATCTAAAAATGGCACTTGCAGGAACTAAGTATGTGTCACTGAATGGATTAGAGTATGTTCATGACAGAACTACAGCTAGGAAAACATCAAGGAGAAATATGAATAATTTGACATTAAACACCAAATAATCCCTCCCCCCAAAACAGACTGTAAATGAACAGGTAAGAGTATACGGGCTGCTTGGCTTTCAAACAAACAAAAACCCCCAGTAACAATCCACCACCAAAGCATTGGCAAAAGCTGCAGTATGTTAAAATCAGAACAAAGCAGGACAGCAAAGAAATCAATTCAAATAATGGAAGTTGAAGAGTGGGAGCACATGGGAAGAGTTTGAAGTAATGCACAATGCAGTATACACTGATGCAGAGAGACCTCTGTATAACACAGGCCACATCTATTGTCACCAGGATGCCTTAAATGACCTCCACGCTATAGCTGGCACAGCAATTTATAACAAAGTACCTACTTCCAGTTCCTGACACGAGGATGGCAGGCTTTTCCTCCCTAGCTGTCTCTGTCGTTTCCTCATCCTGCTCTTGCCTGCCTGCAACTATTGCCTGCATCTTCCTGCTCAGGGAGTTAGATCCTTTTGGTCACACAGCCCTACTTGCCTACTGCAGTAAGAACACTTGAGTCTCTCCCTGATGTGATTCAGCAAGCTGCTCTGCGGCAGGATCTCCATCCTGCAGCCCATTCTTCCCACCTAATGACAAACAAAATGAAAACCCATTCTCTTATGATCAGGGTCCATGTGCGAATCGATCTCTATCTGTTACGTCTGGATCTCAACAGCTGAATTATCCAGTACAGTGTAAAAACCTCCTCATTCAGCAGCAGTTTTATCCTGAAGCACGGAACCACAGAAAGACATCTTTCTACTCAATGATGAAACTCCCTGCGCTCAAGCAAAACCATAATGTCCCCCTTTCTTCAAGCCTATCAGTTTGTTGAAGCGCTTCCCTAATCTTTTAGAAGATCCATTAATTTTTAACACAGTTAACACATGGCACTGAACCGAGCTGCTGGCTGAGCAAACCATTTTGATTGCCACTACTACTTGTCTGAACATGAAAGCACACACATAAAACATGACTGCTACGGTTCTGCATCATGTTAACAACCTTGTTTCAGCTAAGAGCAGCACTAAAACATCCCTATTTTAAAGTTGAGCCATCTATGGATGGATTAGGTAAGAATCTATTCTTCCTTCTACACGCTTGATTAAGTCTCCACTGGTGCAAACTGAAGATGGATGGGCACTACTGGGTAATGATACATGACATGAAAAAAGCCTACTTCAACTTTACTGAGTGGTCTTGACTCCAGGAGTAAGAAAATACCTTTTAAAACTTTCTAATTCTACACAGAGAACTGGGTAACGTGCAGTAGTAGATGTGATTCTGCCTTGTGATTTTTGCATTTTTTTTCTCAGAGGGAGTGCACACGCAGAAAACCACCCCACACTAAGCACAGTGTGATCACAACGATGGCAGCTACTGAGGTTATTTGTTGGTTGAATAAAGAAAAATCTCAACATTTGTTTCTCTCTTCTCTGTCATGAAAATAAGAAGATTTCAGTATGGGCGCTGATCTTCAAGACCTCCTGTAGACACATCCAAGTTAAGACAAAATATTCAGCAAGTACTTCAGGATTGGACACACAAATAACAATTGCCACAGATAATATACATTACTGAAACTCTTCTGTGTCTCAGAAGACTGTCTGTGTTTCCTAATACATAACAATGCCAAGATCTTTTTTTCAGCAACGTGACCCTGTTCACCAGCTTCAGGTGAGGTGTGGTATTGAAGGGGGTGTAGAACTTGGCCCACAGTCTCCAAGTCATACCAAAATCTCCATGGGACATCTCACCCACAAGCGAAATTGGAGAGTGTCCCTCCATGCCCTGCGTTGCCCTCCATGCCCCAGGCTGTGGACTGCGCAGAGCCCAGGCGAGCGCCATGCCAGGGATCTCCCCGGCTCAGCAGCAGCAGCACCGTGGCTGCACAATTAGGTCAACCACAAGTTACAAAGGCTTTGTTGGGGGGGTTCCTCATGTTCAGACGGAACTTCCTGTGCTTCAGTTTGTGCCCATTGCCAAAAAAAAAAAGAGGAAAGCAGCTCATCAGTAAAGAATGCGAGCTTCTTGTTTAACACAAAAGAGATCTTGTTGCTTTAATCTCAATAGGCTGTAAGTAATTAGGAAAACACTGAACTCTGAGCTTAGAGCAGTTGCATCTGCACTCTTGCAGTTTGATATTGCATATATGTACACATTACTCATACAGAATGCCCCTGATGCAGAGACAGAGAAACCTCACCTGGTTTAAAAGCTAATCAGCACTTTCAGAAATGGAAATTTAATTTCATAGGTGAAGACTACCACGGGTAAAACATTCCCTTTGATCACTGCTACAAAAATAACCACCACCGACTCTGAATGAGATTACAATCAGACCTCAGTGTTCAAAAGACGCATATTCTACCCAGACTTATAAAATCAGTCACCAAATCCTAAACCATCATTCCCTCGGAGTCCAACGGGCACAGGGTGTAAGTCTTGCCAGACTGTAACTGCTCGCTAAGCGCTGTGACCTTCTGTGGTCTACTGTCGCATTCAGTAATCACAGAAACAGTACATCCAACAGCATTTTTAAAGAGAAAACAGTTGATTTAACCCCTACCCAGTGAATAATCTGAACTTTGTAGTGGTTTTAGAGATGCAGAGTTCCTCTAATACCTCTGAGTTCGAGGTTGGTAATTATTTTCTGACTTCTTTCATCACTTATTCCACTGCCCAAAAATTTTATTTTCAAGGACTAAAATTGCTCTGCTGTAGTTCAAATGGCCTATTACAATGAAGTTGTAAAAAACATTACAAACTTCATGATGTTAAAGAATATTAATTCTTATAATGAACCCCAAATTACAACATAATTATTTCACTGACAGTACTTAAAACTTCTAGCAAGAAAAAGAAACAGTGTTCTAATTATTTGTGCTGGCAGTAAAAAGTTAGACCATCACAAAAGACTAGTATTAATAAGGTGTGCATTTTTTCATGCACTTGGAAGAAGGCTGGTGACAGAATTGGGAAAAGAAAACATTTATTATGGCAATGATTAACAGCGATTATGAAAATGGACAACCTAAGATTAGCTTAAGAGTATTCACACAGGTACAATGTGTTCTGGTTACATTTTATTCATTTGGCTCATCAGTCAAAAACTTGTACGTAGAGATAGGTGCTAAAAACCATTCAGCGAGCAGTTAAAGCACAAGACAGAATGGGCAGACTTCTTTCTATTTATCACAATTAAGACTGTTTGAATCCAGCATGCTTCTCAGCACATTTGAGCCTA